GCATCGACATCGACCCAATATTCACTCGATCAGAATCTCCAGTTAAACTCTCCCCTTTGTGTGATACTTCTAATTCGACGTGTTGTTTGAGGAAGGTGCCGATTCAGGATATCTTTAGGAAAACGCTTGGGACGCGGAAGGAGTGGTGCGCTAAGCTTTTGTATCGACCTCATCTGCCCTTTATTGTGGCCCTAGGCTCCTCAGGGCTCAGAAGAGGGTTGCCCTGAACATGATACCCAGCAAGTTGACGGATAGATTGTCCCATCGGAGATTGTGACATTCATAGAAGCCCGCACGTTCATTAAATGGGAAGTGAGCCAATCAAAATGTGGCTGATATAAGTATCCTCTGACTTGAATTATTTCCTGTTTTTCAAGCAAGCTTACGTGGAATATTTTCAGTTCATATACAATTAACGTCTTCAGTCTCTACGAATAAGTCCATTTTAAGTTTGGAAACGTAATTGACAAACATAAGTTTTTGATAGTTTAGCATCAGATCATTAGACATTTTTGAGGAAAGAACTTGTGAGCTATGAACAGGGTTTATGTCTCGCGTGATTTGAGGTAGGGTGTGAACGCTATCTGCATATTGATCATGTGGAAAGCGTATGATTATCATCAGGAGATTTGGACGGTGTCTGAAGCCTATCTGCAGTCGGCCAGGGAAGATATAGTGTTTATGCTAACATCTTCTAATAACGAGAAGTTGGATTTGCTAACGGAATAGTCACGGCCTCGGCTACTTTTAACACTCATTGGTTTATGTCTTAAGAGTATTGTGTAGACAGTTCGAACGGCTACATTGACGTCGACTAAATGTGCGATGTCAAACAAGAATGTCAGGAAATAGTTGTTTACACATTGCACACAGACAACGCCTACATAGATATACATAATCTTGCATTCTAGAATGCGGGCATATTTTCTTCTGACGTCCTGTGTTAGTTGAATGACCTCGAGTTAGCTTTATTGGCCTTGTTTTAAATTTAAAATAGCATTTACCGACTTTGTGCAGGTTGTCGCAGCCATGCGCTACTTCGCCGAAGTGGCCTACCAGTCTGCGCCGGATGTCCTGTCTTTCAACAAGTCGCCCTTCTTGATGGACGCTCATCAGCTGATCGCCCTCTCCCAACGCAGTTCACTTAACAGCAACAACAACCCCAGGGTTGGTCTCCCCCTTTTTCAGCCCTTCTGTTCTGTTCAACTTTTTACTTTCCTTACAACTTTATTTCTGTTCTCGGTATAGATTAATATATTCAAGATCTATAGAGATAGATCGAAATCTGATGTATATATTTGGGCCGAACTCCATCCACTACTGTTCCGTTCTGTTCTTCGTTTCTCCCGGACAAATGTCGCGCACCTGTGGCCTTGCACCCAACTCCCTTCTGATTGGCTCTGCCATTGGTTGACCTCTTGCGTGGGGCGCTAAGTGTCCGCACCCGTTCGGTTAGACTTTCACGAAAAAGTATAAGTAGCAAGTACGTGGGCATCAGGTGGGTTGAGGCATTGTTACGACCCGGGCCTGGTACTTGTAATTAACATGAACTCTGAGTTAGCCCAGTTTCTTCCCCAAAACCGGATCTGTTGAAATCAAAACCGGATTAGTTCACATCAAAACCAGATCGGAATCGCGCGTGTTACGGGGACGCAAGCACCGAGGCGCGCATGACCAGCGGCGAAAAGTGCCCGTGGAGAAACTCCTAACATTACAGTACAAAACAGTCAAGGACCTAATATAACTATGATCTTCGCTGTCACTGCAGTTAACGTCATTAGCTGCGATGCAGTGCCTGGTAGCGTAGATGGAAATGTATTCCAAAATTTTTTGACAGCCCTTCCAGATATTCTTGACGACGATGAGGAATACATCATTGTTATGGACAATGTTCCTTTCTATCATTCCACTCAAGAATTCTACGACACGTTTTTGTACGAGATACCCTTCTTAGAATGGTATTCTCATTTCCTGAACCCCTACGAGGAGGTCTTCTCGCAAATTAACTCTTATGTGAGAAGGAATGCTCCGATTCATGAAAGAGAAGATCTGCTTGAAAGAATGAAGAATGCTTCTCAACTTGTCAATGGAAATAACTTAAAGGTTATTTTCAACGTTCGGAAACATTCTTTGGACAATCTTTTTTCACTATCTGATGCCCGTCGAGACTAATTTGATTAAATATTATACGCTATGTATTCGAAATATTCATAAAAGATTGTTATTTAGTAACAAGATTAGTACAATAAGTAATAATCCGGTTTTGATGTCTACAGATCCAGTTTTGATTTTAACGGATGCGGTTTTAGGGGAAAAACCGGTAGCACAGTTGTCGTCCTGAACGTCCACGAGGGTGCAAGAGAAGTCAATCAGCCAGAGGGCGAAGTGTATTCTCACAGTACAAGTCAAGCAAGTCACTGCAAGTCAAGTCTAACAAAAGGCTGCGGGATATTTATTCAGTCAGCTTTACGAGCAGGCGCCAGCGGCAGGGGACCAATCAGCTATTACGAAAAATCGATAGCCACGGCGCGCGCTCTCATGGGAGCTGCGCGAAGTTGCACTCGGGCGCCTTTCTGTTAAATGAGTAATCGTGGGAATTAGCGCATTCCCAACAGGATGCATGTCCGATTTGTCCTCTACTGTTGGTCCGTTCCTCGTGGTTACTTAGATCCACTGATTAGATCATGTCATATTTTCAAATCAATCAATTTCAAGCGAAGTAAAGCAGCTCCTCTTATAAAAAGGCTGCGGGGTATTTATTCAGTCAACCCCACGAGTAGACGTCAGCGACAGGGGACCAATCCGCTGTGACGAAAAATCAATAGCCACGGCGCGCGCTCTCATGGGAGCTGCGCGGAGTTGCCCTCGGAGGCCTTTCTGTAAGATGAGTAATCGTGGGGATTGGCACATTCCCAACAGACATCAATTGCTAACTTTACCAGGAGTGTACTCAGATTATATTTACCGGTCGACCAGTTGGTTTTGCTTAGCGCACAGGAACACTAACTTCGCAATTTTAGAGTGTAGGTGTTCAAACCAGCTGAGCCCTATTTAACATCCAAACTCGTTCCGACCAGGAGTTAGGAGTAAAACTGGTTAACGAAAGCAAAATAGTCACTTACGGCAACTTAAGTTCCACTGTTACAGATGGCTAAATCAAGGTGAGAAGACGATCGCCTGTTAACAATACCTAAATCATTTGAAAATTCAGATGCCGACATTTGAACTAACTCCTTTCCCGTTGTCTGCGAGAAATACACGCTGTAAACAAATTGCTACTTAAGTCGTATGGTTTTGGTGAAGTGATTTTACATGTTTTTACAAATTCAACTATACTTTATAGAAAATATGCGCGAAAATGTTGTTTCTTGCGCTTAAATTGTAGCAAATTATGTCTTTACATTTATCCTTGAAAAAAAAGTTATTTTATGGTTTGAAAAAAAAGTTCCTTAATGAGACAGCAGGCTCTCAGGTTCTCAGCCCTCGCTCTTTATGCCGTCGTATCCCGTGACTTTTTATTTTATGCACCTTTAGTCAGCTCTGGCGATTTACTTCTGATTGAGTTGTTCTAATCGGAACAGAACGGCGCTGAGGTGCTCGTAATTATATCGATCATTAAATGCGTCAAAGTAGACCGTAACGCAATTGAGATAGTACATGTTTGTCGGCAGGCGGGGGGGGGCTCTTTAGGTCAGCAACGTACGTAGGATGGGTGATTGCTACCAAAATCAATACGACCACTCACAGAAACACGCGAAAAGGCCAATTTCTTTTCCTAAAGTATCTGCTAGACTGATCGTTATCTATCTCGGACAATGAATGGCTCACAGCAAGTTTAAAAACTCGGTTTGAAAACCATACTTCTAAGATTACCTATCCACCATAAAATTAGCCATTGCTTGCACCCAACTGTAATATTTCCTTACCATCCATTTTTTCCCCCTCAGGAAAATGGATCAGGTGTAATCAACACGGTGAACCTCCTCTCAGCGAAAGGCTTGGTCCGATGCCTGGAGGGTCAGGAAGCCATTCTCATCCAACGACTCGTGAAAGGTAGGCAAGACCCGACCGCCAGTTTCTTCGTGAGCACACACAGTACGACCGATCTGTGTTTTTGCAATGTTAATTGCTTCGCTCGGTTTAGTACTCCGCATCTCTGCAAAGCGAGTCCCCGCAGCAGTTCCTAAAAGAATAATCCGATGTCTCGGAAAGCACAGATAGAGGAAAAAAATTAACCTCCG